TTAGGAAGGTTGAGAACCGCTGCTTTAGGGGGAAGGGGCAGAGGCAGTGACACTTTCCCAGGGGTCCTGAGCCCTAGTTGCAAGCCTGGTTCCCCCGGCTCTCTAACCCTGCTTGGCCATGGAAATCGGGGGCCTACAAATGCCACTTTGAGAGGCTTCCCTTTATGCCACCAGAGTTAAGAGGGATACAGGGATGCCAAATAGAGATTTTTCCAATACTTACACTTCCTAAAGATACTGACTTTAAATAAGTGACAAGCACAATCCATTTGGTTTCAATGTCCAGCTTCCAACCACTCAAGTGCACTGGTGATGAAATAATTGGTAGAATTTTTAATATTTCTTTGTTGTTCATGGGACCATTTTGCACAAGTCAAAGAGACACGCCAGCAGTAGCGCTGCTGTGTCACACTTGTTACTGATATGACTGCCAATTAATCCTGACATGGGGACTTGGCAGGTTCCCCAAAGCCTGGTATTTTATCACCTCAGGGAGCCAGCCCTTGGACAGTTCTGTGACATTTTATACTAATCAATCAACTTTCCTTTTTTTTACAGCTGAGCCTTTCATAGGAACTGCGAATGAGTCCTGTACATACCATACCCAAAGCCACCATGGCTCCAAACAGAGCTGTGTTTGGTGTGTTGATAATTACACTTGGAAGCTGACTTTTGAAAATGTTTATTCTTATTGCTTCCCATCCAAGGGGGAAATCTATCTCAAATGTTAAGACAGAAACTCCAGTCCCCGAGAGTTCTCTCTCACATTATTGTATATTTTAAAATATTACAAGAGGGTGCTTCTCGAGGGAAGTGAACTTTAGAGCTGCCAAAGATAGTTGACTTTCTCCAAATCTGTTATCCATGGATCCCAAGCTGGTTTAAGTCAGCTCTGTTCTGAGGAATGACACACACGGCTGGGACGAACGCCATGCCAAGATATTGGGTTGTCGGAAAAGTCAGGACGTATTTTTTCTATGTTTTTCATCGCAAAAATGCGTCATGACTTTTCCGACAACCCAATATTTCCAGGACCCCTTGGCCAATGGCAATTTATCTGGAGACAGCCAGGCAGGACAGATGGGGAGAACGAGTCTCCTGGGGGCCCTACGCCAAAACAGGCATCCTGAATCGGTGCTGGGAGCCACGTTCTCTTGGGCTGAGAGGCCTGTCTCTCATCACTTGCTCACCCCTCGACCCTCTGGCCTCCAGTGATTCATTCAACTATTCTTAATATAAGTCATCCTAAAGAGATCATCAAACTGCAAAAAGTTTTCCTGGCCAACTTTCAGTCCTTTCCCTATACCCTATTCTCCTGGGACTGCGGCATGAAGAAATCCAGCCCTCAGTATGAGCTCCGTGTGGTCCCATGATTCACATCACGGTATCCAGGAAGAACTGGGGCACACGGCTCTCTCAAAACTAGCTTCTTCCTTCCTCCTATTCTTTTCCCCACAGCTTTATTGAGTTATAATTGGCAAATTAAAATTGTATATACTGAAGGCGTACAATGTGACGTTTTGATATATGTATACATTGTGAAAGGTTTACCTCACTCAAGCTAACTAAGATAATATCCATCATGTCACATAGTTACCATGTTGGGGGTTTGTGAGAACAATTAAGATCTACTCTCTTAGCAAATTTCAAGTATCCAATACTGTATTGTTAACTACAGCCACCACGCTATACTTTAGAACTCCAGATCTTACTCATCCTGCACATCGGAAACTTGGTATCCTTTGCCCAACATCTCCCATCTGCCCCACCCGGCAACCTCCTGTGACCACCATTCTCCTCTGCTTCTCAGACCTTGACTTTTCTCGATTCCACATGAATCTGGAGGACTTTATGCAAAGTGAAATAAGCCAGACACAGAAAGACAAATACTGCATGACCTCCTTTTTCTATTTTTCGCTTCCTCCTCGCTGTCCGTTCCTAATTTAAAGAAAGGGCCCAGGCTGTCCAAGGTCATGGAACTAGGCAAACAGTACACTGGCCTTGGAGTCAGAAATCGCAGTCCTGCCAGCGAGTGGCTGTGTGACCTCAGTTAAGTTGTCAGCCTTTCCCTGCCTCCGTTGCCTCATTTGTAAAAGGGAAGGATGTCTGCCATACCTGACTCATGGGCTGAAGGACAAAAAGCAGGCGAAGTGTTTAAAAGAAAAAATACACTGTACACCTTTTAGGGCTAACTCCCACCAATTTTCCCAAGCATAACACACCACCCAAAGCAAGGCACACCACCACCATCTGTTTACTGTTGTAAAGGGACCACCGGGCCAACTGATGTGGGATCAGGCATTGCATGTGACATTCTGGAGTGTTCACTCTGCCCCAAGCACTGAAGCATCGCCACATTGAATCCTCTCAACAATAGCAGCTGGGCCAGCCTCTGGTCTCATAGACGAGGAAGCTGAGGTTTGGAGAGTCGGCAACGCTGCTGAGGACAGCAGCCTGGGTCTGAACACAGGCGTGGCTACACCCCCACGCCCTCACCCCATGCCTCACACGTGCAAAAACTGGCTCAAGCCCGAGTCACCTTAGGAGGAAGGTTTCGTGGACCCTGAAGGGCTCCCTGCAAGGGACATGCTGTTTAGCTCTGAAACATGTGGACTCTAGTGTGAGCATCACAAGGAACACAGGTGTGGCTGTCACCTCATCCCTCGGGTGTCCCACACCTCCATGTGCCCTCTGCCGAGAAGTTAAATGGCAGTCCTGAGATAAACACCATGCTTTAATTTTCCTGTGCCCGTCTATTTAGGAGACAGAATTCCGATCACCAATACAGGGAGGGAACAGGTGCTGTTTCTTTGAAATCACGCTCATGTGTCCTCTGAGGTTGCCAGGGCAACCCTTGGGCAGTACAAAGTCCTCCTTGCAGGGAAGGGTGGTTGTGCAGGTCTGTGTCAGAGGCAAACTATTGTGTGTCTAAGCCACGCACAGCACCATGGAAAGCAGGAGCCAGGCGCTGTGATCTGGCAGGTGGGGCTGGGGGTGATGGGGGCTGTGAGAATACTTCCAGTGATTCTATTCTCCAGAGATGTCATCTATTAACTTAGTCTGATCTTCTAAGAATGTTGACAAGCTGCATCTTGCCTACTATTTGTAAGTTCAGGGAGGAGAGATTTTTTTTTTTTGGAATGCCCATCTTCACAAAGTTTCCCAAACACAGAAGGAGCTTAATAAACAGGCTGCATGCTGTCTCTGCAGTCATGCTCTATGCACTTAGATGCATTCAGAAAAGAACCTGGTTTTGCTGCCACCAAAGCTTGCCTCTGGCCCACTATTATCAGCTCAGGACAGCAGGGTCCTATCCCTCATCTGGCCACTTGTCTTTAAGGATGCTGGAATGTGAGTAGACCCAACAAGAATAGAAAACAGGCCTGGGAGGAAGCAGAATGCTAAGAACTGGCCAGAGCTGAAAACAGGCTGTCTCTGTGGTGCTATGTCTGGCTCCAGACCCACCTTTAACTGGCCGTGGGACTTGTGCAAGTCACTTCCCCTCCCCGAACCTCAGGGTTCTGAGGCAGGCTGGAGCAGGTAGGTGCCATAGTTTCCTCTGGGCTCTGGCATTTTCTGCACAGTGCTTTGGAGATAGAAAGTGCTCAAGAAATGCTTTAAACGACGATGCAGAACATGTGCTTGACCTCGGGCTCTATGGCTGAGGGTGTGTATCGGGGAGCGGAAACCCAGGAAGCCAAGAGGACAGAGACCAAAGCTCAGATGAATAGCATAGAGGATGTCCAAGGAGAAGAGGGGCGATACTGGAGTGAGAAGATATCAAGCAAATCAAAAGTAGAAAGACGGCGCCAATACTTTCTAAAGGAGCAAAGTGGGCATGGGTCAAGATGGCGCTTGTCAAAAGAAGGCCCTGGTGAGCACTCTGGGAAGACTGATCTGCAGCAGGGAGCAAGCGGGGAGAATGAAGGATGTACTCCCGTGTGAAGTGTGACAAGTGTGACAGCACGGTGCTCAGCACGGCAGGAGGCACAAGTCACCACGTGGTCACCACTACCCGCCCACTACAGGGAGAACCATGAAAAGAACATGAGGCCTCCGGGTCCCCGTTGCCGCTTCCGTGGCTCAGCAGCTCTGCAGGCTCAAGCAAAAGCGTTACCTTGCTGAGCCCCGATGTCGTCAAACGAAAGAACAAGGCTGACAGGACTATAATAATAGCATCTCTCCCGCAGCCATCAGGAGAATAACATCCAAAGAGGTAAAGTGTGTGAAAATACTTTGTGAGCATATAAATATGTAATGTCCTGCCAACCAGCTGAATACTCATTACTATGAAAAAAAAATCAATAAAAAGGCAGAATAAGCACTCTACTTTGACTAAAGTAAAAAAAAAACCACTGTGAATACGTTGTAATTCCACCCTTGGAGAGCTGAGCTAACCCCCAAAAAACCTGTGGCCGTTCACACTGGACTCTGTTCACATGAGAGCATTTTGCTGGGCAGCTCCTCACCGCTCCTCTTACTACAGAAAAGCATTTTCTTTTGCTTCCTAAAGAACGAACCCGTACAGGACGCTACATTTGAGCTAACACTTCACTAGTAATGCTGTCTCTGGTTTCCCTTCAGATACACGTTAAATACTCCACATTCAGTTTAAGTGACAGAGATGGGGACAATCCCAAGAGCTCCTTTCTTTTTGATATGCTGCTGCTTTGTAGAGAACACAGAATCAGCAGAATAAATAAACAGCCAATCCAGCTCAACCACCCCACAAACAAGCACCTGCCCAGCCCATCCCCCATATTATAGGTGAAGACACCAAGGGCAGATATATACAGGGGCCTTGACCAAAGCCACACCCCTAGTAAATGGCAGTCTCGCCCCTCTGTGGCACTTGCCAATCTCCATTTATCATGGTTAAAATGTCCTTTTAAGATTCAAACCTGAGCATCATTCATGATCTCTCCTAAATGCATCTCAGAAAATGAGTCTACGTTCCTCCAGACATGCGCTCCACCAGGAAGTTCAGCCCCGGCTCTTACCTGTAAATTTGCACAAGGTGGTAACACATGAGTGGGGATCTCATTCTCAGAGCCTGCTGGCCCCAGGGGTTTGTTCTTGACCCGGAAGGCTGTCGTGGTGGTGGCAGTGGTGGTCTGAGCTGGGAGGGCTGGCTGCCACACAGTCACATCGGAGCCATTGCCAAAAGCCTGAATTGCATTTTCTGCAATAAAACAGGAGGAAATCCAATTTCAAAGTCAAGCAGCAAATGTACCAGACAAGCTACAGCAAGCCAGAGAGGCACACTAGAAATTCTGATGACAGCACCGGACGTCTCTGAACAAAACCCATCCACCTGGCTGTTGAGAGCCAGCCTTTGGGTCAGAAGTTCAAAAACAATTCATTAAACACTGAGCTGGATGCTTAGCTCTGCTCCACGTGCAACATGTATTTATGATGTCCCTATGTACGTGCCTGGTTCTTGCCTTGAGACGCACACACATCGAGCCCTTGGAAATCCAGCCTTGGACCTGTTACTTAGGGTCACAAACACTGTCCCATCTTCCAAGAAAATCTTTGTGCTCTGTCAAAATTACATACTAAAAGCAATCTCATTAGTGCCTCTTTTTGTTGAAAGTACAACATTCCTAATTAGGAGGCTGAGGTGACTCAGTGGCGTTCCCACTAATTTGGCAGACAGTGAAATCAAACAGCAAATAAAGTGTGATTCACTGCCACAGGGCACCTATGATGAGACAGTACGAATGCAACCCGTTTCTTGAAAAGAAAAATCTACCCCGACCCTCACCAACAATATAGCAAAAATGTAAGTAAGATTATTTTTTCCCTTTCGGTTCCCAGTCTTCCAAACAAAATCTACATAATTAGGTAGGAGCAGCCCTGCCTAAATGAAAAAGTTTACAATGTAAAATTTTAAAAGCTATTACAATTTCATGGGATTAGGTTGTTTTTATGGCAAGAGTAAATTGGTTGTGCGTTGTCCCCCTCCCCCAAATGAATAAAAACCAGTTTTTAATCAGTCTTCAGGGATTTGGCCTGGATTTAGGGTTTTTTGTTTTCTTTATATTTCATATTCATTGTCTAAGAAATCAAACGCCTCCATTTGGGACCTGAATGTACAAATAGTTAATATATGACTCCTAGCTGGCATTTTTCGATTTACAAGGCAGAATAATTTAAGCCTAATGTTCCTCTTAGAAGTGACATTTTGTTCTAAAATTGTTATCCTTTAAGTTCAGAAAATTGGAAGCTTGTTTTCTACAACTTTACATTTTTTTAGGCTGTAAGAAACAGCTTCAAGTTAATATAAATGCTTTTTTATGCTCCCAGCCATGTTACATGGCTTAACCGGTGGGATGCAATGTACAGAAAGAGCTACGAGTATATGGGGGACTGGTTTCCTTGAAGGACCCAGAACAACAACAAAAGAACAACAAAACCTTCCTTTTTCTTGCTAAGAAATCTATTGGGTCATCGGGAAAGTCATGACGTATTTTTTCTCTGTTTTTCAATGCAAAATCGCATTATGACTTTCCCAACAACCCAACAGATTCCAGAGACCCTTTGCCTTACATTAAAACTACCTGTGCTTCCCAGGGAGCTGGCTTTGGCACTTGGGTGGTTTGTTTTGTTCATTTGCTCCTTCATTCATTCAAATGTCAATCAAACATCTACTAAGTGCCAGGCACTGCTTTGTGCTGGGGGTGCAGCAATGAATAGCAGTGACAGCAATGGAAGACAGAAGTCCCTGCCCTCGTGGAGGTTACATTCTGGTTGCGGAGGCAAATAAGTAAAATATACAGTCCATTAGGTGGTGAGAAATGTTTGGAGAAAAAGGAAGCAGGGGCAGGGTTCAGGGAGCACTGGGTGCGAATGGGGAGCTTCAGTTTAGATGAAGTGGCCTAGCGGGGGGAAGGTGGCATCTGAAGAAAGGCCTGAGTGACACTAACAGTCACCTCCACCTTCAGCTCATTGTGCTCTCTTCCTCTCACATCTTCATGCACTTTGGTGCAAAAATAACGGTTTCCTTCTCCCCAGTAGCCAGAAGTACACAATAGGTTGGAGTCTTGTTCGTGATAGGGGTAGTTGGTAGTCGGGGAGGTTTGGTTAATTTGAAGAGAGTAGAACTGGGTTATTGCATTTGGGTCGGAATGTACAAGTTCCAGCTCCTTCTACTCTAGGGCCTTTTGCAAGAGACTGCCTTTACAACCCTGCGTCTTTGGTATGCTGTGCCCCTTCTACTCAAAGTATAAGTAGAGCGACTATACAAAATTCTGGCTGGCTTTGGTCCCTGTTGAAAACCGAATGCATTTATTTCTATTGAAAAGTCATTAGCAGTAAGATACCAGACTCTTCTCCCCTTCACCAAAATATTATTAAACAGGGACAACTTTATTTTCTCTGTGAGGGAGTGGTTTTCCAGCCAGCACAAGTATAATCTTTTCTCACTCTGACCTCTATTGTCATTGCTTTATCTTCATTAAATCTTGTATTCTGTCCAAGGAGCATGCGAGATGTGAAAAGGAGGACATACATTTTCTTTTCTTTTCTTTTTCTTTTTTTTTAAGTCAAGACCAAACAATCGGCCCAAGGTATAATTGCATAGGATGTCCAATATCTTGGCAAATGTCTCCATACTTGAGACTCGTTTTGTGGGTTTGAAATTCACTTAAGAATCCAAAAGCTTGTTTTAGTTTTAATGATTCAGTTGCAGCCACATGGCTCAAGCACACAGTGAACAAATCACTTAGATTTGTCTTTTCAACAAAGGAAACAATGAGGAGGTTTTAGAAGTAACATGTGCACATGATAAATTATTGGCTAATTCTTTAGAAATCAGCCACCGTCAAAGCAGTGCCTCATGGAGAAATTGTCATTGGAGGACAGGGCTCTCAGAGGGCTGGCTGAACCTTGATTCCCAGAAACTTGGTCCACACCTGCCACCAGGAAGTCCCACCTGGTCCCTGACGTTCAGGCATCTGTTCTTGTTCAACCGGCCCTTCACTATCGGGCATGACAAAACACCCTCAGGAGACAGGGGACTGCAAAAGCCTTCAGAGCCAATCTTTGGCATGGATAGTCTATGTGAAGACCAGCGCTTTATCTACTGTGCAATGACGATTCTCCTAGGATTCTTGTGCAGTGTACAGCAAAGGAGTAATGTATAAATTACACTCCCTATAGAATGAGTTGAAGGCACCTGATAAATGCATGGTGGCGGCCACAAAATGTGAGTGAGGTGCTCAAGCATCTCAGCTGGGTCATCGCCTTGAGGGCGTGCATCTCGGTGGACAGAAGGGAGGCCTGGCACAGTGCTTCTGAAGATCGTGTGATGAATGCTGCCGTTCACGCCCATACGTTTCCTCCATCCCTCTCCCTTTGGGAAACATGCTTTCCAACTGCCTGAAGGATACTGCAATAATAACCGATGCTATTTCTAAGCAGGGGGCCCCCCCACCCGGACCCCCAGTGCTCAGCTCCCTCTCCAGAGATAACCATTCATCCTCAGGCTGCTGGCTGCACCGCCAGCTTTTCCCACTCAAGAAGTGCTTCTCCTCTGAGCCAGCCCAGAACATCCAGGGGGCTATTGACGTTCACATTCTAATTTTTCTCAGACAGCCCTTGGAGGCCTACCCCCATCTAATTTGCCTGAGTGTCTCACATCGTATATTGTGCCCAGGTTTTCAGAACCATTGGAACAGGCTTTGCGCTGGCTGCCAAGATCAAAATTTGATCTGTGGGTAGAAGTGTTCTTTCCCACATAATGTGCCCTCGGCTATTTGAATCTCTTGCTCGCTCAGGCTTTTGGATTCTTGGTCTTGGCAGCACACAGTTCATCCCTTGCTCTTTTCCATGCTGCTTTATGCCGTGTAGCCAAAAGGCACTGGATTCGCCATCAGTGATCAGGAAACAAAGGATGAAGGAGTGTGTGTGTGTGTGTGTGTGTGTGTGTGTGTGTGTGTGTGTGTGTTGGGGGGTGAGAGGCAGATACAAGAAACACAGAGGTAGAGCTTGAGCTCAGAGAGAAATACGTGTTTACGTGTTGGTTTCTTATGTTTTAAAGAAACTCACTGAGACACGTATTGTCCTTGAAGAAATTCAAAAACTTGTGGCACTCTTCCAGGTCATTCCCACTGTTGCTGCAGTCGCACCACGGGGCCACGCTGAGGCTACTGGAGTCTATGTAGTTGGGGGTCATGACGGTACCTAGAAGAGTAAAATCAGGGTGTTTTATTCTCGTGTGATGATAGCAACTTTTCTACAGCCTGAAAAAAAAAAGTTCCTCCTATGGTGGATGCACCATGGATAATTACAAAGCTTGTGTTTGCTGAGTGGGAAATTACGTTAAGCAGTGCATTTGCTTGGCAATTTATCTTGCACACATAAAATAGTTTACACATTTACTTAAAAAAATTAAAACACAACTCCTTGAGCTGCACTTAGGGTATTTTTTTTTCCCCTGCACAAATGGCATGGGTGTCATGGAGTAGGGGACAATTAACTGAATGCACGAGTTGCCAAGTCCCTTGCATTTCCCTGAAAATGTCATTAATCTTCATCAACAGAACTGGTTTTCCATGCCTTAAAAATCCTTGCAGGACTTTGAATCCCCTCTCCTCAGAGGCAAAATGCTTCTTCAGAGAAACACACAGAAGCTTCGAAGCTATCCTTACGGGTTACCCCACGTCCTGAAGGTATATCATGAGGCCATAGCTCACCCGGCTCTCAACTGACTTAAATGAAGTCTTCCCCTTTGTGAAGGAATTGGAAACGAACAGTGGAAATTCTCTAAGCTGATGGCGCCTAGAGCATCATCTCAATAGTCCTCAAAAAGTCCCCCAAAAAAATACTGGGTGGTCTCTCTTGCCTACATCTTCTTGTATTCACGGTTTCGCAGATGAGCTGTGTACTGGCACAAATAAACAATGCATTTATTACTTAATACAACCCAAATGTCTTCTCCTGGGTGGCTCACACCAGGCACTGCCTACTCATGCCAAGAAGCCTTCTGTTTTTATATATATTTGTGAAAGTAAGAAGTAATAGGTGGTCAGTGATCCACAGGGTATAGTTGGTTCGCAAGCAGAAAAAAAAATTTATTTGTAAGCTCTTCTAGGTCAAGGGCATATCTTCTTTGCCCTACATTCCTTACTGGCTTGAACTAAATGATATGCCATTATACCTTGGGATGAGAACTTCGACCCACAATGAAGAGGGAGCACCTACCTAATTTTGGGTAAGAAAGGAACAGGTACCCCAAACACTGAACAAAGAGGTTAAAGTGTATCTACTGAGCAGGCCCGTCACCAGAGTGGGCCCCTGACATATGGAAGAGGTAGGAACAAGCTTCGTCCTGAAAGAAGTTGGAACCCAATGACCAGTGTGGAGGGCGAGTTCCGGACCCAACAGACAAGTACATTTTGGTCTGTAGAGTTCACTGCCTTGGCAGGTTATTCCCTTAAAATTTAAGGGAATAAAATTTAAGGCTTAAATGATGAGGATTTCATCATCCTCAGGCATGTAACAGTTTGCCAAGCCAGAAATACCTGGCAGCGCTGAGTCTTGGCCACTCATGGAGGATTTAATGAGCATGTATGCCTGGGGGACAGGGACTAAGGTGTTCACAGTAATTACATCTGGGAGTGGACTTGTAGATCCTTAATACTCTCTCCTTTGGGCGTCTCTGTGCTTATTTTTGTTTTTTTGTGTTTTTCTTTTTTTACAATGAGCATGCCTTAATTACTTCTGTTATTTCTTAAACCTGTGATTCCTAGTTGACAAGTAATCCCTACTAGAGGCTAACTTGTTTAAGAAAAGGAGAACGTGAATGTCAATTTGGAATACTGACTTAAGGAAGCTACACTCATTGGACATAGCCATAAAAATGGTCCGTAATCGGTGAAAGGCATTACGCAACAGAGCACAGGGACCCCTTCCGAAAAAGCTGGGATGTAGACACCTGTAATATCCCTGTTGTTAAGTGCCATTGTTGATTTTCCCAACAACTCTTCCTGAAGACACTCTGGTGACAAAGAATTTAGTCTGTGCTGTCCCTCTTGGTGGGAAGTTCTTCCTGCCTGGTGACCTATGTGATCCTGGCAGGAACACACACCCTGGCTGGGACATCACGCTTCTGACAAGGGTGACTCCCCTCACCCCTCCACAGCCTTCACTACGCATTGGTTCCTGACGGCGCTCTGTCACCAAGGCTTCCGCAGTCCCTGGTACCTGGGGCACCATCCTTTCCTCCCGCTTGCCCTGCTTATCCACAGGCACAGATGTGCCTCCTTTCTGGTTCTCTTCCAACTCACGGTGCCTTGTTTAATTGCACTGTTCTCCTGAAGGCTGAGAACCTGGCTCTACTAACGCCTCAGGTCCTGAAAGGCAGGAAGTACTGTTTCTGCTATGTCTGTTCTCAGGGGGGGGAAAAAAACCCCAAAAACAACGAAATCAGCCCCTGCACACCAGGAGCTGAATTACCAAGAACATGAATGGCGAGAAGGACCCCAGCAGTTAGGGGTTTTCTCTCCAAAGGGCCATTTCTGGGAAACAGCCTCTTTGAGTTCCCCAGAAGGACTAAGACTTCCTTCCACGTTCCCTTTTTCCTAATTCAATTGACTTGGTTTGACTTGCTCTCCTCTTCCACAAGCAGGCTTCCTCTCCCGCCCCCCGTACTTTTGTTCTGCATGGTCCGTTCTCCAACTGAGGGGCTTCACAGGTCTTTACCCTGCCATCTTCCTGCTTTTCAATCACTCCTGCTTCCCGCCTTTACACGTCCACTATCCTCTTTTTTTTTTTTCTTGTCTCACAGGTGAGCCCTAAAGGCCTAACATCAAAACCCCAGCACAGAGCATTGCTGGGAGATTGTTCCATTGACAGGCAGTGGCAGGCTCCCACCGAAAGCATCTGTATGTGTAAGCCCGCCTTTCCTCTTCTCCTTGATCTTACCAATAAGCCCTGAGTAGGCCAGGAGGCAGTCCGCATAGTTCTCCTTCAGGCAGCTGCTGACAGACCTGGACTCTGGCTGGCAGTTGGTAAAAAAGTCAGCAAGGCGAGATCTGCAATAGGAAGAAAAGGGAATAGGGCGCTTTAAAATATCCTGAGCCTCTAGACAGACGTAACTCTTCTTTAATTCTTTGTTGATATGCCTTTCTCCAACCCCAAAATGTAGTAAACGTGAACTCTTAAAATGTTAGTATTGTCTCTTAGCATCCCCCACCCGCCCCTGTCCTCACCCACGTGTGCCTGCTTATTTGCAGAAAGGTCTTCAGAGACTATAACGGGAGAAATCAAGGTGCTTTGAAGTTTCCATTCAATATTTATTTCTGACTAGACTTATTTGCATCTTTAGGAAATCTGCTCCTCTGCACACTCACGGGAGATCCACGCTGGGAAAATATTTACTTTATACCGAGACGTGTTCCTGGCATCAAAATGGGATCCTACAGCCCATCTGCTCCCGTAATTCCTACTGGCTTAAAAAATATGTGTATCTGTTTTATAGCTCACCTCTCATCCACCAGCCTAGGGGGCAGTGATTTATTGCAGACAAGTGACAGTGGGGCGGAGTTTGCCTGTCTGCAATTGAAGGGAAAGGCAAGAGGGACAAGGTGACATTCACCTTGGCCACAGTTTCACTGTCTTTGACTGGGTGCGGCGGGCCTGCAGTTGGAGGTGGTACCTGGAGGGTTCACTGATCAAAATGCAGCACCCGTCTGCAGTTTGGGAACTCCGCAGGGCCCAGCACCTGGAAACCCTGGAAGGTGGTGAAGTTACAGAGAACCAGCCATGGACACAGGCTGCAGACATGCTGCTCTGAGGAGGAAGAGGCCTCTTTGGGACCAACTGGCTCTTTTTCAATCTGAAGAGGATATTGTTGGAGGAATCCTGATTGAGAGCTGGGCCACCTCTGAGGTCATCTCAGCAGACAACAGCTCTGCTTCTATGCGAAGGACACAATGGGCTGCCAGAGAATTTAAACGATCTGGCAGTTAAGGAAGACAATGAAGGGTTGTCTCAGCTTTCTTCTTTTTTGCTCCCCCAAGTTGACAACCAACATACCCAGTGCTGTTTTTACTTCTTTCCACCCAATCAACTGTATCTACTTAGCATATTTTATGACATAAACAAGCAGACAGAGCAAGGTAGGGTGGGTGATCACAAGGGTTTGTAAACGGCACAAAGGGAGCACATATGTGTCCCTTCCCCACATCTTTAACTAGAAGGGGATTAAAAGGCCTGATGAGATCAAGGTCACAGCCTACTGCAAACGCCGCGTGAGACTGGTCTCTCCCTGAACCCTTGTAAACAAGGTGTGTCTGAGCCTCCCTATCTGTGCTGATCTGTGTGCTCCGTCTGTCATGTGCCTGCTTCCATCACTGCGAGTCCCCGGGGCAGGTGCTGGAGCTCTGCTTTATTTTCTTTGCACAGCACCTGACACTCCTCAGACAGGCCCTGTATGTGGTTTCCCAGGCAGGGCCATGTGCTGAAGCTAAGTGGCTTGGCAAAATCCTCCACAGGAGGCTCGGGCGTACACGTGTGCGCGCACACGCCTGGCTCTCTCCCACGGTCTGAGCCTCGCCTTGCTGGCGTTTTCTGGCTCTAATTGAACACACTGAAGCGCATAAAACCTGGCCATTTTCTGTAGCCTGGTTAAAGGATTTATTTTTCAGAGGAAATCCCTAAAGGTGGCTCAGGATTACCCAACCGGCTCCAACGGCATCCAGCTTGGATTAAGTGTTAATTTCAGAAGTATCTTCCCGGTCATGAAAGTTAATGATCTAGTGGGACTGGGCTTCTAACTTTGCAAACGCCAACTGCGGTTCAGGCAGCTGAGGCTCCAGATCCGGATACAGCCCGATCAGCTCCCTACTCCGGCAGCCCTGCACTCCTGCCCATCCCCAGATATGGAAGAAAGGCTGCTCTGTCCACGTGTCTTCCGTTTCTTGTGGTCTCTCGAGGAGACTATGAATGGAACAGCCCGTGATGTGGTTTACCGTCCTTTAGAGCGAGGCTACTGCCACCAGACTCATTTTGCTTAACAACCTCAGAATTGACTCACAATTGGACTCTGGAATGAAAGGCTAATTGAGTCAGTCTGCTGCAGAGAGCATAACCCTGATTGGGAGAATAAAACTAGATAATACTGCTCTGAACGGAACCTTGGACAGGCTGGCTTTAGAGAGCTCGCCGGCACAGATCCTGGCCCTCGGACAAGCACCATCAGTGGAGGGAAAGAGGGTCTCAAAATAACAGCAAGCACAGGCCCCACTGCTAAAAGCACTAGCATTTCCAGGGTTCTGTCACACTTGACCCAGCTCCTCGTGACATTTATATGCAGAGACAACAGGATGGTCACATTGCAGGATTCACATTTTACAGAGAGAAAATACTGCAGGAAGAAGTAGTTTATACTGTGGTGTGCTGCAGCCAGCTCATTACAGGCTGACTGGTACATTTGCAGGAGTTTTGTGAGTTGGTGAACATCACAGTGGCAGCTTGAAAGCGGCCCTGGTGGGAGTATTTATGGCACGGTAATCAGCAAACACTACAAATCAGGGCTTTGTGTTGCTCTTGGAGAACTCGTTGTTAAATATTTATCAGCACAGCCCTGTTTAAGAATCAGTTTGATGTGGTCAGTCCCACTGATATAGCATCCATCATGTCTTGAGGGTCAGTTCCAGTACTTCCTGGACCGGTGTCCTCTCCCATACCCAGTCACCTTTGGCCCAAATAAAATGGTGTAGGTAGCACCTATTAACCTCCAGCCCTTAGTACCTTCCAAGGAAAGGAAACGGGCCTCCCCCTAAGATGCTTCCTTTCTAACATCTTCTTCTCTTATCAACACAGTCCTCTGAAATCTCTTAAAGCAATGTGTGCTATAGGTTACAGGTATTGACAAAGCAGCTGAATTTTAGTCCATTCCATTGAGTTAATGAAGTGTCAAGTGCTTGTGATCTAATGATGAATAAGTTCTTGTCCCTGAACACAAACAACTCACCGTCTAGAAGCTGAGAGAAACAAGTAGAAAGATTATAATAACACAGCACCTAAGTCTTGATAAAAGGTAAGAAAGGCTGCTAATCAAAATACTACCTAAAATGACTGAAGTATTTAGTATATGCTACATATGTTTTTACATGCTTTATATTTTTTCCTGACAACTCTAACACGATAGCAACCATTATTTTATTATCCTAATTTTACAGACGAGGGAACCACAGCCTACCAAATTTAGACTCGTGTCAAATAGTGAGGAGTAGTAGCAGGATTTAAAACCACACATTCTGATCCCACAAATTAAGCTTTTAACACTACACAGCTACAGAAGCTGGTTGCAGAGAGGCTGTGATATTGGGACTGAAATTTGGAGGATGTGTAGGATCTGTCAGGTAAAGGTGGAGGGAGAGGGTATTTCAGGCAGAAAGAGGCAGCAGATGTAAAGTAACCACACTCACAATAACCCCAGGGTAACAATAATGCAGTGTCTGTACCTGTCAGACACTGATCTAAGCGCTTGTCATGTATGCACACGTTTAATTCTCACAACCACCTTAGTAGGTGATACTATGAGCCCCTTTTTACAGATCAAGAAACTGAGGCAAAGAGAGGTGACATCTCCCTCCAGGTGGCAGACCTCTCTGGTCGAGCTGGAATGTGACCACATTCCATCTGACCCCAGAGCCAGAGGTCATTTTCAACCACCACACTTAACACATGTATCACCCAGAAAATAGTTACTGATTCGCTGGGGTTGGCAGGGCCACAGGATGCAAAGGGTGAGTGATAGGAGGTGGCGCTGGCAGGGATGCAAAGAGCTTTGAATGACCCATGAGTCTGGGTTTTATGCTAAAAGCAACGGGAGCCACTGAAGGATTTTAAACAGAGAAATACCATGCTCAGATTTGCATGTGAGGAAGACTCTTGGGTTTGTCAGTTGTTTGGCAAAGATTTACTTTAAAACCTACCCTGTGCCCTCACTTGTTCCAGCAGCAATGGGGAGAGCAGGGAACTGGCCAAAGATCGGAGAAAGGGTTACTCAGGAGACTGCAGCCAGCGGTGAACCAGAAGGAGGAAGTGAGGGCTGGAAGGGGAGGAAGGAAGGAGGAAACCCTGAAAGGTATGTATGCATCACTAGAACAGAAGTCAAGACTCCAGCAGGGAAGGAGCAGAATCCAGGCGCCGACGACTCAGCGCACCGTGGTGTTATGAGGGGGAAAACAGGGAGGATGGGTCTGCAAGGAAGGTAGTGAGGTGGGGTGAGGCTGTGCAGAGTGTATGGCACCGTGTGGAGCCAAGTGTCCAGTAGGTTGTTAGAGCCCCAGGCCTTCATCTATCCAGTCACCAAGCACGGCCTGAGCACCTGCTGTCCCCACAGCTCCAGCATCCCAGGATAGACCCTTCTGCATACACCCCCTGCTCACCTGGTTTAAGAATCAGCCTGTCACCTGTTTGAATGGCCTCCCTGCCTGGGCTGCAGTGACCCAAACAAGGAAGCGTTAACATCCAGTGTGGGATTAACAAAGAAAATCCACAATTGGATTTCTTCTGGAGACATGAAATCTCCATGACGACAGAAGTGATGAACACGATTGTTTTTCTGAGAAAATGAAAATGAAATGACTAGGCACTAATGGAAAAACGTATCTCCCTCCGAAAGGGAAAATTTCCCACCATTAAACAGGAGGAAAATGCCGACAAATGCCAAGTTGGCCTTAGGAAATCTGCTGAAGAGAAAACGGTGGTTTATGCAGAAAAGATCATATTAAAGGAAGCATGCTGCTAACTGGAAATAGAAAAATTATTATGATGATAACATCTAGGAGAGCCTTCTCAAACAGCAGATGGTCTTTTGATAGTGGAGAAAAATCATTTACCTACTTTTTTTGCAATGCTTTTAGGAAAATAGTGTTATGGCAAACAGGTAAAAATCATGCTAGAAATGCCCAGTTTAACTCATCCCAGATTATCCTAATCATTTAAATGTTTTTCGAGGACAAACCCATACTTGGACACAAGCCGGGTGTTGGTGGAATGGAGCCCTGGACTACGAATTGTG